CTACAGGATACTAATCCTAGAAGAAAAATGTAATTAAAACACATGATGTACTATCGTCAACAATGGTCAAAAGAGTGAACAAACACTCTTTATGAGGTTCAGGAGAAACATTTTATACATTGCTGATGTGTGTGTAAACTGGTTCATCCCCTTTGGGGAGTTAATTAAAAGTATCTTTCAAAATGGCAAATGCATATACTCTTTCACCAAGGGTTCTATTTTAGGAATGATTAATGTGTCAGAGTTCAGAGAGCAATGGAAACCAGCCTTTCCTAAAAAGATGAAGGAGAGATTTGGGTGGGGGACAAGGAGTAAGGCTCACAGAAGTGATGGAAGGTGAGGGCACTGAACAGGAACTAAGGAGCTCAGACACTGAAAGGCAGCAGCCGGAGTAGACTGTTGCCACAGGAATAACATTCCCAATGTTTTCAGCCTCTTGGCATCTCTGCTCAGCATGTTTCAGATCACACCTCTGCCCCTGGGTGAGAGAAGGATCAATCTGACTAGTTATACCAGACGCATCTAATAGAGGAGGCAATTCCTTATGGCAGGAAACCAGGTGCTAATATAAAGTGGCAATGGATCCTGCTGTGTGTGCCCTCAGTTGATTCCAACTCATTGTGATCCGAGAACAGAGTAGAACAGCCCCATACGGTTTCCTAAGCTGAAATCTTTACAGGAGCAGATCTTCTGATGGGTTTGAACCACTGACCTCTTAGTTAGCAGCTGAGTGCTTAATCATTGTGCCACCAGGGCTCCTAAGTAACACAAAAAGCAAATGTTCTCTGTACAATGTACTATTTACGCTGGAGACGCTTATGGCCACCAGATCATCTGTTCATAGACCCACCTCCTCCTTATAATTTTCTTGTCCATCAATCCTCCCTTGTCCCATTTCCAATCTAACTGAGAGCCCATAATCTATCACCTCAAAAGTCTTGCTAAATCTGAAAGATCTGTGAAGCTGTGGTCTCTAGTGCTGCTGGAAAAATCCCATTGCCAAGCATGTTCCACCGCAGCTGTAAATTCTCCATTACTGACCTTACCAAAGCTCCTTTATAATGCCCAGCCACCTCACCCCACACTCCACTACACACCCAAAGCTTATGAAACCTCAGAAATCACTGCTTTCCTCCCCTGTTCTTTGCTTACCAGCAGCACTGTCAAAAAATAATCCTGTCTCTCTAATCTGAAAGAATATAAAAATCAGCAATTTCCCACCACCAAATCCAACTCTTGCTCCAATCCATCCTTCTAGTTATCTCCTCAGATCTTACATTTGCAGCCTTCTCATAACTTTCTAGTATTCTCTGGATCCCTTGATTATCACAAAAATATGATTAAGACTCTCCCACCTTGAAGCCAAACCAAAGAAGCCCCTCCAACACAGATCTGTTGGTTCTATGGGCAGCCCATGGCACTTTCATTTTTCTCCTCCAACACCATAATTCAAAAGCATCAACTCTTCTACAATCTTCCTTATTTACTGTCCAACTTTCCCATGCATATGAGGTTATTGAAAATACCATGGCTTGGGTCAGGCGCACCTTAGTCCTCAAGCTGACATCTTTGCTTTTCAACACTTTAAAAAGGTCTTGTGTAGCAGATTTGCCTAATGCAATACGTCATTTGATTTCTTGACTGCTGCTTTCAAGAATGTTGATAGCTGATCCAAGAAGAATGAAGTCCTTGACAACTTCAATCTTTTCTGTTGATAAGAATGTTGTTTATTGGTCCAGTGGTGAGGATTTTTGTTTTCTTGACATTGAGATGTACTCCATACCAAAGGCTGTGCTCTTTGATCTTCATTAGTAAATGTTTTAAGTCCTCTTCACTTTCAGCAAGCAAAGTTGTATATCTGCATATTGTAGGTTGTTAATGAGTCTTACTCCAATCCTGATGCCATGTTTTTCTTCATATAGCCCAGCTTCTCGGATTATTTGCTCAGTTTACAGGTTGAATAAGTATGGTGAAAGAATGAGACTCTGCCATACATCTTTCTTAATTTTAAACCATCCAGTACTCCCATGTTCTATTTGAACAACTGCCTCTTGATCCAGGTACAGGTTCCTCATGAACACAATTAAGTGTTGCGGAATACTCATACTTCGCTATGTTGTCCATACTTGTCATGATCCACACAATCAAAAGCCTTTGCATAGTCAATAAACCACAGGTAAACATCTTTCTGATATTCCTTGCCAGCCAAGATCCATCAGATATCAGCAATAATATCCCTCGTTCCACAGCCTCTTCTGAATCTGGCTTGAACCTCTGGAAGTTCTCTGTCGATGTATGCTTGCAGCCATTTCTGTATTACCTTTAGCAAAACTTTACTTGCATGGGGTATCAAAGAGATTGTCCGATGATTTCTGCATTCCGTTGGGTTACCCCTCTTTGGAATGGGCACAAATACGGATCTCTTCCAATCAGTTGGCAAGATAGTTGTCTTCCAAATTTCTTGGCATAGATGAGTGAGTGCTTCCTGTGCTGCATCACTTTCTTAAAAGATTTCAATTTTAATTCCATCAATTCTTGGTGCCTTGTTCTTTGCCAATTCCTTCAATGCATCTTGGATATCTTCCTTCAGTATCATTGGCTCTTGATCATATGCTACCTCTTGAAATGGTTGAACATAAGCCATTTCCTTTTCTTCTATCTTCTCTTTACCCTTCCTGCATCATTCAATTATTTGCCTAGAGGATCTTTCAATAATTAAAGTTGAGGCTTGAATTTTTTCTTCAGTTCTCCCAGCTTGAGAAATGCTGAGCATGTTCTTCCTTTTTGGTTTTCTGATTCCAGATCTTTGCACATTTTGTTGTAATATTTGGCTTTATCTTACCGAGCTGATCTTTGAAATTTTCTGTTCAGTTTTTTTATTTCCTCATTTCTTCCATTTGCTTTAGCATCTCTACGCTGAAGAGCAAGTTTCAGTGTCTCTTCTGACATCCATTTTGATCTTTTCCTTCTTTCTTTTCTTCTTAATGACTTTTTGCTTTCTTCATGTATGATGTTCTTGATGTCATCCCACAACTCTTCTGGTCTTCGGTCTTTAGTGTTTAATGTGACAAATCTGTTCTTCAGATGATGTCTAAATTCAGATGGGATATATTCAAAGTCATATTTTGGCTCTCGTGGACTTGTTTTCATTTTCTTCAGCTTCAGTTTGAATTTGCATATGAGCAACTGATGGTCTGTTGCACAGTCTGCCCCTGCCCTTGTTTTGACTGATGATATGGAGATTTTCCATCATCTCTTTCCGCAAATGTAGTCAATTTGATTTCTATGTATTCCATCTGGTGAGGTCCACGTGTATAGTCATCCGTTATGCTGTCTAAAGAAGGTATTTGAAATGAACAAATCACTGATTTTGCATAATTCTATCATATGATCATTTCTGTCACCAAGGCCATATTTTCCAAATACTGATCCTTCCTCTTTGCTCCCAACCTTTGCATTCCAATCACCAGTAATACATCTTGAGTGCATGTTTAATCAATTTCAAATAGAATGTTTAATACATCTTGATTGCATGTTTAATCAATTTCAGATTGAAGAAATTGGTAGAATTCTTCTATTTCATCCTCACTGGCTTTAGTGGCTGGTGTGTACACTTGAATAATAGTGGTATTAACTGGTCTTCCCTGTAGGCACATGGATATTATCCTATCACAGACAGCATTTAGGTGTTGGAAAATGATAGAACCCAGACTAAGTTATTGTGAAAAATTAAGCCAAATGGATTAACAAAATGATGGCAAAGGGGAAAGAAAAGATGTCAAGACAGAAAAATACTAAAGATGAGAAGTTACCTCACCTCTGAAGCAAAACCCCCATACTAGAGTAACATGAAAAATTAGGAACGATAAACTGATTTATAATCAAACAAACAAATAAGTTGCTATTTGGTTAATTTTGTGTCACTTTGGCTAGATTATAGGGCCCAGTTGTTTGATGAGACACTAATCTAGTTGTTGTGTGATGGTACCATCCATAATGTGGGTGGGCCTTATCCAATCAACTGAAGGTCTTAAACAAACCTGAGGTTTTTGAGAGGAGATGAAAGATTTTAACGAAGATAATCTTATAGAATTTCCTACCCACCTATCAATTTTGGCCAAGATATTGGTGAAGTTTCTAGCATGTTGCTCAACCTAGTACATATTTTGGACTTCCTAGCTTCCATAATTGCATAAATCAAAACCTTAAAATAAATCTTTTTCAATCTATCTCTCCTCCCCCCCCCACATACATACATGAGGGTAGTTAAAAAAGTATTGCTAAAAGGGTTTAAGTTCATACATGCATGAGTTATTTCCAAACAAAATGGTTTAAACATGTCTCTGCAATCCTTAGATAACTGCAGACAAATTCTTTCAGTAATACACTTGTCTTAGTTTTGTTAGAGTGTCTTCAATAAAAGGGATACTTCTTGGGCCAGGTGAAAAAAAAAATTGAGGTTAGGGCTAATATCAAATTTTAAACAAAACTCAAGTGGACATTTTCTCAAACTATTAAAGCTTTGCAACAAGTTTATGAAAATGCTGCCCTACATAAAATAACAGTTTTTAGATAGAGCAAACATTTTGAAGAAGACTGGGAAGAGCTCATAGATGAGTCAAAAGACCATCAACCACATCATTGTGTTGGGGAGGGCAATACACAAGAAGGGGAAGGGCATGGAAGAACAAGGTAGATAGACGAACACTAAGGCAGGTTTGCTTGGGCTAAATGGAATAGAGGTAAATAGTGATATATGCTCAACCTTTCATACAATTATTTTTTCTTTGCCAATGATCATTTTCTCCCTGGAACGTTCTAGGCCTATCTAAACCTGCCCTACCACCACCAAGATGCAGGCGCACGCCCCCGGTGCCTCACCTGCGCTGGTTTCGGTCCCGCCTCTTCCGCCTCTCGGCCGAGGCCGCGCCTCTTCCGAGGGCTTGAAACTGGAGAGCTGGGGCTGGGGTGGCCTCTGACGTCACTGCCGGCCGGACGCCATCTTGCTGGTTTGCGGCCGGACTTAGCTGTGGCGCTGGCGGTATTGAGGGCGTGGGGAAGGGTGGGGTGAGGGGGCGAGGCCGCGACTAGGGCGGCGAAACTCTCCTCCCCGCGGCCCTAGCGCGTGGGACGGCGTGAACGTGGTGTCGGAGGGATGTCCGCTTTCTCTGAGGCGGCGCTGGAGAAGAAGCTGTCGGAGTTGAGCAACTCGCAGCAGAGCGTGCAGACCTTGTCTCTGTGGCTCATCCACCACCGCAAACACTCGCGGCCCATCGTCACCGTGTGGGAGCGGGAACTGCGTAAAGGTGAGCCGCCTGCGCCGTTACTCATTCCCGGGCTCCTCCGTGACCCCCGGTCGGCTCTCCGGAGCCCCGCATCCCCTGCGTCCGCGGCTCCCTGTCTTCTGGAGAGCCGTGTCGATGTCCGTGCGCGCTGTCGCGGGCTACGAGCCGCATGCACCCCTCTCCCTGCAAAGCCTGTGCTTAGTGGATGCTAATTAAGTAAAGTATACAATTAAACTTGCATTAATGTAGCAGAAAAACAGTAGCCAGGTGCTGGGGATGTCGCATCCAGTTTGAGCCAGAAATTCAGGCCGCCTGGTTTATCTTTTTGTGAATCATAGCGGTGGATATTGGGAAGGAAAAGGTAAGGAAGTGGATAGGAATCGATTAGTGTGGGGTTAAGAGGTACTTCGAGTTCTGTAATACTCGCAGACCTCATGTAGTAAAATTAATAGTCAGACTAGCCTTTTAGGACTGGGGAATCTGAAATGCCTATTGGAGTGAAAAGAACCCCGAATGTGTAGATTTCAGGGGACCAAGATTGAGCACGTTTCTTAACGTTTGGATTGCAGGTGCTTCACTGAAAATGAGGGCGTTACATTAAGTGATCTAAGCTCCTATACTCTACAATACTGTGACTGCAGTGCACCTTCTTTATTTTGCAAAACATTTGATGGTGCGCCTGGAAATAAGTAAACTTTTTTGAGCTTTGAGCAGTTGGCTGTCGCTGAAATATCATGAGTCTGTCCAGCGGCTTTAACAGTAAAGAATTGATTGTATGTTAATGCTGCTGGAAATTTAAAAAAATCATGGACTTAGTGCATGTGGAGTAGAAGCTCTTCATTGTTGTTTCAGACATCTGGTTGTTGTTATGTGCCGTGATTCGGTTCCGAACTCATAGCGACAGGGTTTCTGAGACTGTAAATCTTCGGGAGCAGAAAGCCTCATCTTTCTCCCGCGGAACAGCTGGTAGTAGTTTCGAACTGCTGATTTTGCGGTTCGCAGCCCGATTTGTAACCACTATGCTACCAGAGCTCCTTAGACATCTTGTTAGATATAGTTATTAAACGTTAACACTTTTAATAAACCATCATTAATCAAAATACATGCAGTTTGCTGAATCTTGAAAGCGATTTGATGTATTAATATGAAAGCTAAAATACGGTGTTGGCTGTGTGAAGCGCTCGCTGGTGTAATAGTGGGTTATGCTTTTGAGTTGCTAACCGCACAATCAGCTGTTCGAATCCACAAGCCGCTGGGGGGCCGGGGATGGAGGGGATGAAATCAGCAACGGGTTTGTACTATTTGTTTTGGAAAGGTCATTTAGAAACAATCATAAAAGATTGATAACTAGGAAATCTTAAGAACACAGATCTATGAGACAAAGTAATCTACTAGACAAAAGGCTGTTTACAAGTCTTTTATAAGAGAAGAAACCTAAAAGGCTAAGAAATAATGCTTGGCCTTACCAATCCTTTTCCATTTTTTCTCACCCTTATTTGGAATCAGACGTCACTACCTTGGAACATAGCATTAATCAATCCTATAAATGTTTTAGGGAGCACAGTAGTGCCATAGGATAAACACTTTGAACTGGTTCAAAGCCATCATTTTGTCCCTAGCTAGCAGCTGCTCAAGGAAGAAAGATGATGCTTTTTGTTCCTGCAAAGATTTACAGCTTAGGAAACCATATCCAGGGTCACTATGAGTTGGAATGCAGTCCTGGTAGGCATAAGCACTGGACTGCTAGCTGCAAAGTTGGAGGTTCAAACCCATCAGATGGTCTTCGAATACCCCATAGTGGGTTACTATGAGTCGGAACTGACTCAACGGCACTTAACAACAACATGATTTGGAATAGGCTCAACAGCATTTAACAACAACATGGATGTTTTAACTGTAGAAACAGATATCTTTGGAGTCCTGGTGTGGTGCTGTAGGATAAGCACTGGATTGCTAACTGAAAGGTCAGTAGTTCAAACCCACCAGCTGCTCCTCGGAGGGTCAGTGCAGGGTTGCTGTGAGTCGTAATTGACTCAGTGGCATGTAACAACAATAACAGCTATTAATGGAGTCCCTGAGTGGTACAGATGATTAGTACACTTGACTGCTAGCCAGAATGTTGGAAGTTCATGTCCCCCCAAAGTCTTCTCAGAAGAGAAGCCTGGTGATTTACTTTCCTCCAACATCAGCCATTGAAAACCCTATGAAGCATAGTTTGCTTTGGCCCACATGGGGTTGCCATGAGTCAGAGTCTACTCAGTGACAACTAGTTGCTTTAATTGGCATGATACCTCTGTTTAACCTTTGAGAAACTGGCAGACTTTTCCACAGTGGCTGCACCATTTTGCATTTCCACCAGCAGCAATGTATTGTTGTGATGTGTCCTTGAGTTGATTCTGACTCATAGCGACCCAGTATTGGGTTTCCAAGAAGCAGCTAGTGGGTTTGAACCACTGGCCTTGAGGTTAACAGTCCAGTGCTTATTTTACAGTGCCACACGAGGACTCCCAGCAATGTATTACTGTTCTAGTTTCTCTACATCCTCACTAATATTTGCTGTTATCTATCTTTAATTGTTGGAGTCCTGGTGTGGCGTTGTGGGTTAATGAGCCAGACTGCAAAGCTGTTGAACTGCAAGGTCGGGGGTTCAAGCTCACCAGCCACTCCTCGGAAACCCTGTACAAGGTCACTGTGGGTCGGAACCGACTGGACGGCACTTAACAATCTTTATTATGTGCTATCATGACAGTTTTGACTCATAGTGACCCTGTGTAGGGTTTCTGAGGCTATAAATCTTTTTTTGTGTGTGTTAATTGAATGAAGGTTTACAGAGCCGATCATCAGTTTTATATTCAACAAGTCATATACTTTGCTTCATTGTTGTTAAGTGCTGTCGAGTTGGTTTCGACTCATAGCAGCCCTATACAGTGTTTCCAGTGAGCAGCTGCTGGGTTTGAACTGCCAGCCTTGTAGTTCGCATTATGGTGCTTAGCCTGCAGTGCCACACCAGAAGTCCAACAGTTAACATCATTTACTTTGACTATTGCTTTCTTCCCTATGTCTCCTCCTACCTTCATCTTTCCTCTACTAACCTCCCTCTGTTGTATATTGCCTGCCCTGTCACCCATGTTAACATGTATCTGCTTTCTAGCCCATGAATAAGCCTCCCCACAACTATCATAGATGGCTTTTTTAATATCAAGAAAGCTTTTTTAAAAACATTTTACAGCATTAGTGTCATACAACATTTATCCTTTTGTGATTGACTAGTTTCAACCATTTTGTGATGTGTTTCACAGATTCATCATTATTCTTCATCATTTTGTAGTTTTCTTTTGTGTGTATGTACCAAAATTTATTATCCATTCTTCTGTTGGGCATTTAGGCTACCTTCATCTTTTTGATGTATCTCTTATAAACAGCATACGGAAGGATCCTGTTTTCTTATTTATTCTGTTCTCTATGATGCTTGACTAGCACATTTAATCTATTTACATTCAGTGTAATTGTCAATAGGTATGAATTGGTTGTTGTCATGTTTCTCTGTGTCTTGTGCTACTGGAGTCTTTGTTCCACATAATTTTCTGTGTTGAATTCCATTTCATTTGTGGGTTTTCTTTTCATTTCTGTTGTGCTATATTTACTAAATCTTTCAGATTTTTCCTCCTTTTATAAATTTTGATACGCAGATTACCCTGTAATTTATTTTTTCCCATTTTTTAAAAGTTTTTATTGTGGATTGAGTGAAAGTTTACAGTGCAGATCATCAGTTTTAACATTCAGCAAAGCATATACCTTGTTTCATTACAATGATTATAATCCTCTCCATGTACCATCAGTTGATAGTAGTTCTCTCTATTCACATTAACTTTCGTTTTTTTAAACAGAGCACATTCTGCAAGCCTGCCTCTTGGCTACCATCTCTTAGTCACTCTCTTCCCATGAATCTCGAGTCCTCAGATGTTCCCTCTCTCCATGTCCCCATGTCGGCCTACATCTCTGGTATTCCTGCTTCTCTGGATAAGGTCTCGCATTCTGCTTGTGCTCTTCTCCCTTGATGGTCCTAGGGTCTTTTGTTTCTTGACTATAAGATTAACTACTCCCCGGTTTTTGTTACAAATTTTCTACCTTTCCAATTCTGACAGTTGCAGTTAATCATGATAACAAGTACTCACTATTGAATTATAAGAATCTTATCCCTATCTCTTTTAACCAGACCCATCTTGACAAGATGAAAACTATTCAGTGGCAACTCTTTCTTCCCCCCCACACTATTAAAC